CCAGGTTGCACAGGAAAGTGTCCAGGTGGGTTTGAACATCTCCAGAGAAGGAGACTCCACACCCTCTCTGGACAGCCTGTCCCAGGGCTCTGGCACCCTGATGGTAAAGAAGTTTTTCCTCGTGTTTAAGTGGAACTTCTGGTGTCCCAGTTTGTGCCCACTGCCCCTTGTCCTGTCACTGGGCACCACCGAGAAGAGCCCAGCCCCATCCATTTGGCCCCCACACTTCAGATCTTTATAGACATTGATCAGATCCCCTCTCAGGCTGCTCTTCTCCAGGCTGAACAGTCCCAGCTCTCTCAGCCTCTCCTCACACGGGAGATGCTCCAGCCCCTCATCATCTCTGTGGCCTCTGCTGGACTCTCTCCAGAAGATCCCTGTCCCTCTTGAACTGAGGAGCCCAGAACTGGACACAAGACTCCAGATGTGGCCTCACCAGGGCAGAGTAGAGGGGGAGTGTCCCTGTCATTGTCCCATGGTGGCCAGGGCAGGTCATTGCTTCCTCACCTACAGTTATTGGGGAGAAACAAGCACTGATTGCAAAGACTTCCGAGTAAGCCCTGCCCCGCTTTGATAACGGTGTTTGAGGAGCAGTTCATGCTGCAGCACCTGCTGACACCATTGCTGAGGACACCTGGATATTTTTCCACTATTCCATTTTCTCAGCGTGGCAGAAGGCACATGATGGCTGTTCTGCAAAACTTCTACAAAACAACTTCTCCCGCATTGCTGAGCCCTGCTGGAGACAGTGGGAAGGTGATGCTTCCAGCAACGTCTCATCAAACCCCTGGGGCAGGGCCTGGAGATGTTCAGTCCCTTTTGTCATGGACCACCTCATGCATCTTGGGTCCTGATGCCACCCGTTGGGTAACCTTCCCACCTGGCAGCAGCTCACTCATCAGCTCACAGGAGTGGTCCCTGAACAGGAGGTCACTGGGGTCTGGAGGAGTCCTGAACGTCACCACAACTCCATTCCCCATCACGCAAAAAAGGCTGTCAGGGTGGTCACATCCTCAGGAACAACGTTGGTGTGCCCCGTGGAGTCTCGTTTTGTTTTGTTAATGAAGGGTTAGAGACTAATAAAATCATCTTCATTATTTTATTTCACCAGGGCTGCTCTGTAACACGGGCAGACAGTTTGTCCCGCATTCCCATCACCACTGTTCTCACAGAGGGTGAGATGTGTCATCCCCGTAATGCTCCTGGATGATCTGCTGGGTCTTCCTCAAGGTTTTCCCCTCTTGTTGGCAGCAGCCTCTTGTAACACCTCTCACATCTTGTCAGCACAAGGTCAGAAATGTCTGGGTTAGCTGTGTGTCTTGGCAAGAATTGTTTTTTCTCCTTGAGCATCGTGTTGTCCCCTCGTCGTGTTCTGCTCATGGCTCTGCCAGATTCTGATTTTCAGTGGTGTTTAAAAAAAGAAAAGCGGGAACTCATCTTTGCAGCCCTCAAATCCGAGTGGCCGGGGGAGGCCGCTTGGCTTCAGCAGTTTGAAGAGTCTGAAGTCCAGATGGAGGTGTCTCTCCGTGAGCTTACCACTTTGCACACCCATCTTCTCTTTCAGATGACGTGGCCATCGTAGCCCTCAGTGTTATGTGCAGTGAAGGTCTAACCCAGGAACTTTGTGTCTCTAAACAGCCAAGCACGATCCATGAGACGTTTGTCCTCCAAAATCTGGTTCTACCTCAGCTTTCCTTTTCACCACTGCTTCATCTCACAGTGCTTATGATTCGTGGGCAAAAATGTCATTTGGGACATGATTCCCGTTCCCGGCCTCCATCCAATATCCCAGAAAATACAGCCCTGCCCCGTTGTCTCATCATGGGCCTGAAACGCTGATGAAGCTTCAGGTTGAGGATGAGTTGGTGGCACTTAGGACATTTCTTGCCTTCACCTTTCTGAGGTTTTCCCATGTACGCTCTGCACCTCTCACATGAAATGATGGACCATCAGCTGGGGTCCTGTGCTGCTCCCACCCCTCCCTGGCCCCACAGAGGGTCTGCAGCCGGGACACCTCTTCTCCTGCCCAGCTGAAAGGGGCTGTGTCCTCACCCTCCTGGCACCATGGACATTGTTTTTCATGTCCTTCACTTGTTCAGCGCTGGCCACCAGCATGTTTGGAGGCTGACAAGGTATGAAGGGTTTGGCAGATCAGTGTCTTCTCCTTGAACCCTCCACTCCCAACCACCTGATTCTGGAGGTGCCTGCAGAGCCCGTGGGGCTGAGAGCACGCTGAAAGGACGTGCAGCCTCAGCTGTGGGCAAGGGTCACCTCACCTGTGGGTCCTTGACCTACGGCTCAAGAACTGTCCCCACTGGCACGTTCCCAATGAAGCTCTGTCACCAGGCACAGTTTGCTCCAAGCCTGGAGAAATGTTTGCCTGTGGCAAAGGGGGTTTTTCAGTCACACCATGTCCTGGGCTTGAAGGTCTTCTCCTTGGGTTGAAGAATGAAGAAAAACTCAAAGAGCAGCTTGTGGAAATGAGTCTTTATTATAAATATTTGCTCCACTGGGCACGTCCTGGCAGGGCAGAGGTGGCAAGAGGGACTTGGTGGCCGGCTGGTCCATGCTGCTGTGACACCTGGTCCTGTCAGGGTAGGGCTGGCTCTGCCTGCAGCACCAGCGCCCACCGCCGTGGGACCCTTTGGTGAAGACCCATGAGCACCGTCTGCTCCATCCCCAGATGGGAGGACTGGATGGGCAAGGCAGGTGGTGGACAGCAGAAAGAAGGTTTTATTCTTTCTTTCTAAGCTTCCGCATGGCCTTCTTCACCCAGGGCTTCTTGGGGTCAGCGCAGATCTCATGACCAGTGGCAGACACAATCCTGCAGCGAGAAAGTGAGGAAAGACAGTGACCATGTGAACTGTGAGCTGTTCCTTTCCCACGCACTCACCCTCCCCTCCTCGTGTGCAGCCCCATCCTGGATGGAGGCTTGGAGATGGTCTCCAGCAGCCCATGTCC